ACAAATCCCTCAAAGCTACTTTCACAGTCCTGTGGTGGACTTCTTTTATTTCCCTAGATTTCCCTATCTGAACAGTACAAGAACTGATATTGCTTCTCCTTCTGCTGCTTTTCACCCATCACTTTTTCTGAAATAAGACACATTTTGCTTGTCTGGGAATAGTTTTAGCAGTGTGGTTGAGCCGGTAAGAATAGGCTATAGGTTGGTTTGAAAACCTGACAGCTGTCTAATATCTCACAACTTCCAATTTAGATAGTTAAAATGTGTGCATATTTTGAATGTGATTACTGGGATTCAGAAACATCACAGAAGGACATTTGAAGATGAGAACTCTCAGCTTGTTCAAACAATCTACATGCATTGTACTCATTTGGGGACTGGATTCATAATAGCAAAAGTGAACTTGGAAGGATTTGGGAGAGTACATTCAGTTTTGCTTCTTGCTTTCCTAAAACATCAGAGGCCTTCAAAGACATCAGTTCTATCGCATTCTGCATTTGGCTGGGAAGCTGTCCAATGATTGTTTAGTTCCATGAATTCATCCATCCTACTTTGATAGTAACCCTACTAGACTAGACTAGACTAGACTGGAAAGTCCAACTGAACATCGTGAAAGGAGTTAGTGGTAAGCCATATCTGTTTTGTGGCTAGAGAAACTATAAAGAGATATCTGTGAAATCACCAGGGGTATAGTTCAGAGGCTTTCTTTTTTAATAGTATGGCTGTTTCATTCTGTCTATTTTTAATGGGCTTAATATAAGGTCTGTTGACAAGGTACTTTCAGAGAAGTAGCTATAAAGTCAGGTAGAAAGGCCCGGAATAAATGTTCAAAATACAAAGAGTGCAGTCCATCCGAAGCATAGAGCCAGATGATAGTGCTAGAGATTTTGGGGTGTTTTTTTTTAGATTTATGGATCTAAGCCACCTAGAGTTGCTATGAATAGTTGTACTGTTATATAATTGTTATATAATAAGAATCTAAACTTAAGGCTATTTAGAAGTGTTGTTGATGTTAATCGGGTGTTTGCACCAAACTCTAATGGGTTATGTGTGATTTGGGCTTAGCACTGGACGTATCCCAACTAGGGTGTATGACTTAGCATTGTAGGAACCCCCTCACTATGGTTTGTTCCACGAAGTAGGGTTAATAACAAACAAAGGCTGAAGACATATGTGATTCCAGTAAGTGTGATAAGACTGTGCTGAAATTGTAAAGTGCTTTTGGGTTTTGCACTTCAATTGTTACCTGATTGTAGGGTATCCACCTTCATCAGCTTCAAAGTGGTTTGCTTTGGCTGTGCTAAATCTTCCCAAGGTTACAGATTATATGTAGAAGGTGGAGATTAGAATGGGTGCATTGGGGATTGTCAGGCTTAAAAATGGGAGCTGAGTGCTCTTCCGTTTCTAGAAAAAAAATGTGGGATGTTGTCAGTAGTTTTTTCCTGGGGAAGAGGGAAGGAAATGGTTCCTTGAGAAAATGAGGCTCGTGCATCTATTGCATTCTTGCTTTTTTTCTTTCTGACTGCTTTGTAGGGGGAGTGGATTTTAATTTAAGAAAGGAAAACTTCATGGGGATACTCTTCCCATTGGTGCTTCAACTAAAGGCATTTTGTTTGATGTTGGGAATTCTCTGTTACCTGAATGTTTCTGCAGAGGGTGACATAAAGCGTTGCTTAAAATGTGATTTACCAAGCGAGAAGGCTACGTGTTTTAGGATGCAGCACTTCCACAGCAGCATTTTGAGGCCCTCCTTGACTGGCTGGCTAGCTGGCTGACCCTTTTTGTATTCCATGTGCAGATTGAGCTGAAAACACTTTTCTTACGGATTCTCGGATTTTTCAACAGGAAGCAAGAGGAGCGAGTGCAACAGGTACGGAAAAAACTGGAGGAGGCACTGATGGCAGACATCTTGTCCCGGACTACAGATGCAGCAGACTTGGATGAAGTTGAAATGGACAATGGAGAAGATGCATAAGAATAAAATAATCAGGTACAGTCCAAGCTTGTGAAAAGAAGTGCAGTAGAATGATCACATCCGTTTATTTTATTTTTCCTCTCTCCCTCTTCCCTCTTCCATAGGAAATGCTAGCAGCTGGGTTAAGTCATGGGCAGATAGACATTTGGAATCTGGAAGCCCACTCTTCATTTTTTGGTGCCAAGAGGCATTTAATGCGATCCTGGGATCATGTTGCTGGAGAGGGCAGGGCTGGAATGTTTGCCTGAATTGTCTTCCTTTGGAAAGCTGGGAAGAATTAGTTATTTTTTTGCATTAGTGGTGTGCATCAAAGTCACCCCCATTTTTGTCTTATTTCATGGGGAAGTTTGCTTTGAATTTTGGCAGGGAGGTGGGAAGAAAAGTGGCCCAGAATGACTTGTAGACCAGCCCCCGTTGAAGGAGTGAAGGAAGGACCTGCCCCCTGTATAAAGGCTTGCAGAGGGAGACATGGGAATAAAAAATAAGTTCAGTCAAGCAGACCTGGATTAATGTCTTCACAGGACTTCAGTATGCTGTTCATCATGGCCTCCCAGCATGGATCTCAGTATGAATGATTGCATTGTAAACAGTGGGAACATCCCACATTACAATCCTAAATCTCTATAATATATGTTTCTGCACCCATGCAGCTTTCTTGATAATGCCAGGAAAAGGAGTTTGCCCCTGCCTTTTCCCTCAATGCCATTTATAGTTTATAGTCCTGGGATTCCCAAACAGTTTCCTATCTAGATACAAACCAGGGCTGACACTGTTTAGCTTCCAAGGTCAGCCAAATCTATTCTCCCCTCATGCCTCTTTCATAGGCCCTGGCTCCTATGGTCCTTGTCCTTAATGGACCATCCATCCCTGCCATCAGGAGACAGTGGTAGACATTTCTTCTTCCAGCTCCATCTGTTGTCAGCAGCATCAGATGTGTTGATGCTGCACAGGAACATCGAATGCAAGTCCTCCCTATGTCCTGTTCCTTGCACAGCAATGCCACATCTGAGGGACTCACTTCACGAAGCTTGTCCTTCAGAGATGCATTCCTTGGGAATCTGGCCCATCTCCCCAGCAAAGAAAGATTTGAAGGCAATGCTTCTGATAGTTGGGAAGGAATTAGAAGGGTGGACAGCCTGTCCACTAGTTCTTATGCCTCCAAAAATCTTCAAATTGTGCTGGTTTTCATAATTAATTGGGGGGGGGGGGAAGGAAGCAAAAGTATGATGTCGTTAGCCAAGTTCATACCTAATTTTGCAGGAATATTGTGCCTCTGAATAGCAGCTACCATTTGTATAATCTAGGGACAACTTCCTAGTCAGCAAGACAAAATAGCTCTTGTCTGTGCTATTGTCTAATTAGAGTAATTGTTGTAAGCTGCAGGTATGGCCCCCGTTTTTATTTTATTTTATTTATTCATAACATTTATATGGCCGCCCATCTCACAAACAAGTGACTCTGGGCAGTGTACAACAAATCTTTTCCCCAAATCTTGAACTTCGCACTGTGGGGAAGGACAGGGAGTTAAACCATATTTCTGCAGCTCGGCAAATTCTGGGTGAGAAAAGTTCCTCCTTGTAATGCTGATCGGCCGTGCATTTTAAGCTCAACTCTGAACAGAAACCGGGCTCTGTTCTTCTCTCCCCTTCTTAAAACGTTATTCTTTAAAGTATATTCTGTATATCAGTTTAAAAATGAGAGAGGTCCCTGGGAAGGCTTTATCGTAGCGCCTTGAGAGGATGGAGAAAAATCCCATTATGATGTATGATGGACTCAGACAGATTCCTTTGGCTAAGCTCCTATTTCGTCAGAAGGCTCCAGTGTTTGCAGACACTGTCGCTGTTAACAGTTGCTACCAATTCTGGAGAATTCCCTTTGAGTTTTTCCCCAGCGCAGCCTATCTGCTCATCCTCTCATTTATCTGCGGGCAGTGCCTCATTTCCTGCACCAGAGAAGAAGCAGATGGGACCTCCTTCCATTTTTTTTCCTCCTTCCAATTTCTGTAAGAAATAACAGGAACTTAAGCCACTGACAGCTCAATCTTTCTGTGTGCGTCACTGAGTTCCGTTGGACTAATTTCCAGCTGCCCGAGAGGAGAAGAACGAGGAGAGGATTTCCACAGAAAATTGAGGCTTTTGGCAGGTTCAGTTAAACTACTACGGCCATCTTGAGACTTTGCAGCATATGGAGACTTGCGTTAGGCTTTCTGGGGTAGGCGGGTGTGCAGATTTTGACTTGGAAGAACCATTCTATATCATTTTAAAAAACGATCATTCATGCTCCGTCTCCCCATTTCTTTTACAGGTACTTTTTTAAAAAAAGAGAAAGACTCCCAGAGAAAAATTCCTGGAAGTTGGAAGCGCTTTTATGTTTTCCGTTGGTCTTTTGTGATAGAAGAAGAGGACCTCTGCACATTTATATAGCTTTCTAATAGCATTAAAAACCAATGCCTTTTTTTTTTGGCTCTTATTATTATTATTGTTATTTTTGATGTACATATCTTGTTAAAAAAAGAAAGAAAAGAGGAAAAAAAGGAAAAAAAAAGAAAAGAAAACCTACCCCTTTATTTTGTGTCTTAAGACTTCAAAAGTCTGATTTTTATTTTATTTGTTTGGTGAGATCCAACAATTCCTTAAGACTGAAGCCGAGCTTTCGAGGCCAAGTTGCAATTCTGGGGCAACAACATGGCAAGCACTAAATAATTAGCATTTCCCATGCATTCTCCTTTTTTATGTGTACGTTTTTGCAAGGATAGATCAGGAAAACAGATTGTTTCCCAGTTGTTGTTTTTTTAAAAAAAAGAAAAGAAATTGTGACAGGATTTCTTGTACATAGATTATATAGAAGATTTTTATACTGGAACTGAATGGAAAAATCTGTAAATTGACTTGTCATCTTTCTCTAAAGAGAAATAAATACTTTTATTCAGAGCAATTACAATTTTTAGAGTAATGTGCTATAATTTAAGGCAAGGCTGTTATCGCTATTTCTGAGCATTAGGCAGAGAGAATATTGTTCAGTGAGAGTAGTGAATCCAGAATGCCAGGCTGCTACAGCCTCAGTTAAGTTTATTGGGAATTTATTTGCACTCTGACATGATTATGGAAGCACATCAACAAGCGTGCAATTTCCCCACATCGGATTCGGAGCCTTGGTCCTCCTTTTGTAAAATGGGGAAATTGTGACCTACCTCACAGGGTTGTTGTGAGGATGAGCTTAATAAAGACCGGAAAGTACTTTTTCAATGAAATGGTTTACCCAAATAAATAGGAATGGATACACAAAGGATGAACAATAATTATTCCTTGTATGATGTGTTTGTTCATTGTGGGGAAAAACGGTATATTTGATTTTCAGTTAAAGGATGATAGATGATAGATACTTTTTATTACAGCCATTGACCAGATCGCAAGCAATAGGAGTGGGAAATTGTCTGTGCAACAAGCTATATCTAAATAAGGGAGTGAAATGTCTAGATAAGACTAAATAGGTCAGCCATCCCCAGCTTGGCGTCCTCCAGCTGTTTAATCCAATAACCCCTCAAATTCTCAGCCAACTTGGCCATGAAGTAGAAATTCTAGAAATTTTAAGAACACTCATGGGGGCGCCATGTTGAGCATGACTAAAATAAATGGGTAATTTGCCCATTTCGTTGCAAGATAACCTTCGCAGGACCATCTCTGTCATTAGGCAAGACTAAGGTATTTGCTTCTGGTGGATGACATTGGGTGCCAGTGGCCTCCTGGTGGAGAACAAAGCTATGTTCCCCTGAACATGCCCTTGGCCTCCTAAACTAGCCTGTTCCTTCAGACATGGTCAAGGACACTGTTCAGTTTCAGACATGGAAGTATTAGCTAGTCTTTTGCATGTGGAATTGGATTAGAAGTTGTTTCTCCTCAAGCTGCAAAACACTTTAGCTTTATCTTCGCATGTTGGCCAGCCAACTTTAGAAGGGCTGAAACCATGTTTGTTTTGGTTTGAATTTCTCACCACCTTAAAAGCTTATTGCAGGCAACAGCATAGTTTAGTGCTTGGGGAGAGCTAATTAATCATAGAGTAGGCAAATCGTTGACTATGTTGGCTGGAAATTCTGAGAACCGCAGAGTTCCACCTCCTGGAGGCCTTGGTTTGGAGAAGTCTGGTCTAGTCTTTGAAGTGATGATGTTTCAGAAATTCAACCTTCTGCAACCACGAAGGGGACCTGAATTGACCCTAAGTTCCTAGGTTTCCGGTTGGATCAAAGCACAATTATTCATGAAGTTTTCCATTTCTTGGTTTTAAATAAAATTTTAACCTGCATTTAAAGATGTATATTTGGGAACAAACATGGATTTGAAAATGCCTATTTGGACAAAAATAAGCAAATGTTTATTTAAATACATAATCATGTGCAGGTACGGATTTTTTAAATAGTTGCATATTACTAGGGAAATGACACAGAATGGCTTTCAGTTGAATGTGTGCGAAAGTGATAGAATGCTTCCCCCTTCCTGCTTTAAGGGTAGAGATGCCGAATACCCTGCTGTGCTGCGTGTCGTCTGTTGCTGGCTCTGTACCATTTTCCCTTAGCAAATAATGCCTGCTTTGGGGATCTCTTATTATCAGGCTTGTTGGTAGCTAAATTGGGTGGAAAAGCTGATTTGGGAGCAGCGTCCAGCAAAATCCATTCATCTAGTAGACTTGGAACCTGATGAGCCTTTCAGAGCTTGGTTACGGAGAAGATACACTCAGAGCATGATTATTTTTCATAAAATCGGCCTGTAAGACACTCCGGCAAATGAATTTTAGTGGCTTTATAATGTGCATTGAACTATTTACTATTTATTTACTCAACTTCTATCTTGCCTGTCCAAACTGAACACTTAATTGAGTTCTATCTATGAGTTTTCCTACTTGGGTCTGTCCATGGGCCAAGTGTGTCTCACGGAGCCTTAAGTCCTTTTTTTTTTATCTGCGCTCAGTCGTTACCGACTCTGCAGTGACTGCTTGGACGAGTCCT